CACGCTATTGAAAGAAACAAGGAATTGAACAAGGACAATTTATGGGAAAAAAATCAACATGAACTAAAAAGTTATTTACAAATTTTTCCCCGTGAAATCAATACCGTTAATAACCAGCTAAACAATGGCCTCTCAACAGATGTGTACATTATATAAACTTCTTCCCACGTATTTTTAAAATTGTACAATAATTGCCTGAAGTATAACATTTTTTTCATAGGTAATTGCCCGAAGTTTAATATAATTCTACAAGTTCATAAAGTATAATATAATTCAACAAGTTCCACATCAGAGTACAATTCTAAATGTTATCTATAAAAGGCATCCTAAGAAAAGTGGTTTTAATATATTTCATTTCACAAGTAAAATTATAGTGGAATGCATTGTGCACCTCAGCATGCTTAGCACCAGATGTCTAACAAAAAGGTTGTTTCCATAGATTATCAAGAAATGCACCACAAGTTATACAGCATTTACTGGAGTTTCAAGAATTCTTAAGGTAAATACTTCCATCAATAATTTCCTCACTTGAATTGCACAAAGAACCTATGTTATGCACACAACCAAAATGGCATTCCTTGAAAATTAACAGACTTCCATTTAAATTATTTCTCATTTCATTTGCTCAAAACAGTCACATAATCTAAATTGTAGATGTTGCCCTGATCAAACCATTGACAAAAGTTGGATGTAATATGACGACTTTGCATATTAATGAAATGTAAATAAATAAATAAGACTCAATACTTGAATTTTTAAATAAAATTAGTGAGACGCACGTGCAAAGCACGTGCTATAATATAGTTAGCTATGAAATAGAGTTACATATAAACAAAAATTATATGTCTTAACTATTGGTTACATCAATTTGATGTCCCTGTTCCTAGAAAATTAAAATATGGTTATGCATTAAGGATCTCAACATAATAGACATGAATTAGATTTTCTCTAAAAATAGTAATAATAAACCTAGAACTTGCCTAGTAAATTTTCCAATAATAATATTGTCGCGAGTCAATTTTATGCCCTTTTTTTATTTCCATTCTTCTTAAAAATCTTTTTTTCAAAACTCATTTTCAACTAAACATTGTTCAATAAAATAATATTAAACGTAAATTCAAAGCTTTTCTTTAATTTTTAACTATACATTCTCCATCAATTTACTATTCGAAATGCATTAATTTCAGCAATGGGGATCAAACAAGGGCTATATCTACAAACTACTCGTAGTTTTCATGATTGAGGTCCAACTTCAAAAATTGGAGATAAGTCATTTATTTGGCGTAAAAGGAAGATTCAACTTTTAACCTCCACTTTATTCAAGATTTTACACCAGAATTTACATGTAAGACTACATGCTATAGAAAAAACATGAAATCGCAACAATCTTCATAAGATAGTCCAGTAGCATGAATCACATAGTAATGATGGAATTAAAACTAAAGTCAAGAGAAACCAAATATATAGATCTAACCAAACAGATCTTAACTGAATGATGCCTTTTTAACCTCTCATCCATTGTCCAAAATGTACACTTCTCCATGCTCAAAAGTTGTTTCCTAGCCAATTGCAATATAGCCTTCAGATATAGATAAGCCAACAAATTTCTACAAAAAAAGCAATGTCTGCCATTAGACGTCAAGTATGACCACATTTCATTACAAAATGATGGAGAAAAATCAAAGATTATGAATAAGGTTCGGAAGACATTAGAGAAATTCGTTCAACATGTCATACAACACATTTGCTTGTAGGATATGAACACATACTCAAAGATGAGGACTATTATGAAATGAAATGAATGACAAGCTGCATTGTTGTTTGCTACATGCAAATAATGGGGGCAGATACAAGAAAAATGTTAAAATAAAATTTTAACCAGGTAAAATGGAAGTTCCTTTCCATCTAACCATACTATTTATTAATTCTCCACAATTTGCGAGCACTAAAGCCACAAGAGAGTAGTTTCTATGATTTGTTCATACCTCAGTTTCTTTCTGAATAGATACGAGTAAATTGACAAGAACTTAGCATACAGCCTTTATCGTGCTTCATATTGCAAACAATGGGTATCTAATCAAACCAACTCACTTCCCTCTGCATTTGAAAAATGACCCTCCAAACAAAAATCTTTAAGCATCACAAATTTTTTTGGGCCTCAAATGAGATAAAGTGCCTAAAAATATACCGAGAGGCTCTTAGATCCTCACAAATTCATTAGTGGAACTACTTAAAATTTAAAAAGGACAAGATGGCAGACAATTTTGAAGTTACACAAATTAAGCCTCAATTACCAACCGTTATTTCAACACTCGTTAATTCTCATACTCATTTCAACCATATAATTACACAATACAATATTTTGCACATAAAATCAACTTAACCATATGTTATTCAAACAATCACTATTCAAAACTCCATTTTCTCATAATAATGGCCATCAAAATGAGGCTATTTTTGGCAGTTACAAATAATAGTATCGTAACAACAGAACCAACTCCAAATAATGGCCATCAAACGGGGGCTACTTTTTGTCAGTTGAAAACAATAGTATTGTAACAACAAAACAAACTCCATATTCAAATATGTAGTTTATCAAAGAGAATGCAAAAACTTAAAGTTTAAAATTTTCATCCAAAAACCATTTTACTGTAAGATTTTAGTTCATTTCTAAGGTTATCCTAGCAAGCATGCTAGAGTAATAAGAGTTTAACATTTAGCGAAAAATTGAAGCATAAGGAAGATAAGTAATCCCAGCTTCTAACAGTCTGATAATCCTTGTGAACATCCCTAGCAAATGACTAAAGTAACACCATCAAACACAAAATCATCAAAATACAATAATGACAATGGTCAGAACAAAAGTAAGAAATACAAGATTCAAAATTTTGGCCTAACGAGAAAAAGCAGTGGCAGTAGTCAAATTCAAAATAAATTAATTGAAGATATTTTTGAAGGAAAAAATATAAACCACTCAAATCTGCATCAACAACAAACTAAGAAAAAAATAACCGAAATCGACTTAAAATTTTTTCCACCAAATAGGGAAAATTACCGGTTCATAGCTCGAAGAGCTCAAGCACACTGAACAACAAAGATGAAGAATTAAACGAAATTGATAAAACAGTCCGATCTTTTACTTATTCACAAAATGAATTCAAAGAATTTGAAACATAGAATCGAGCAAAGGATTACATTTTCCTCCTTGAACCAACAACATTTATTCCGATTAAAGTAAAAAATTTACATGGCAGTGACCAAATCGAAATAAAACACCGAACCTGAAGAATCATATAGGACCTTTGACGCCGAAGGTTCTGCCGGTGGTCTTCGACGGTGGGCGGTTCTGCCGGTGGTCTTCGACGGTGGGTCGGCGGGTGATTGCAGCAAAACTCCCAATTTCGTCGACGGCCGGGAGATGGTCGATTGCAGTGAGAGAGACGAGGGAGATTGGGGATTTTGTGTCTTTCGGTTTCTCTTCCTTCCTTTATTTTTATTTTATGTGTAATTTTATTTTTTTTATGTTTTCTTTTGTTTCTTCTTCTTCTTCTTTTTTTTTTGGGTTTGGTTTCCAACACTAATTGTCATTTCATCTGACAATTACTCTGTTTTGGTACAAGGACACAAAAGGTATTGTAATGATTCAGAGGGGCAAAATTGTCCTAAACTGACATTTTTGATAGACAATTTAAAAGATGACATTTTTCATAATTCATACTCAAATTTTGACACCCAATGAAATATCCTCATATTTAAATATATAGTACTTGATTATACAATGTTGACACCACAAATAAAACTTAATGAACAAAAATAACTTAAAATCTTATTTATTACACTGAATAATATTGTACAATAATCATCTATACAAATTTAGCAAAGTAGGTTGAACACTAAAGAAAATTATATAACAAAATAAATATCTTATTTTAATTATTTTATTGTACAGTCTTAATTAGTACTACACGTGCCTATCTTGTTTTTATAAAATTTTGCTATAACAATTTTCAGTTCAACCAATAATTTTATTTATCTATTGGAACAAGAATACAAATATCCGTATATCCTTTTACTTGAAAAATCCCACGAGAACAATGAGTAGAGGGGAAGAGGGGAAAATAGTATTTAAGGTCCCGAACTTTCACTTGTATTGCATCGTGTCCCCAATCTTCAAATTGTAGCATTTAAAAGATAAGAACAAAAAAGTTATTTTTCTCCTCCTCCCTATCCCAACTCAACTTCCATTAAGAGAGACTACAACTATAGCTAATCACTGCCAATTTATTTTGAGGGTGGCTTGGGAAAGGAAAAAATGTATATTTTCTTGTTTTTCATTAATTTTTTTGTTAATTTAAGATATATAAAGATAAGACTATCTTTTTAAACTCGTTAACTAAACGTAAGGAGATTCAGGATTCAAGTTCGGAACCTTCCAAATAGTGTGAAAATAACGCTTCAACATTCAAAAGTGAGGTTCTAATTCTCCATTGTGTTTAAAGTTAAGAGATCAAGTCGTCCTACAAAGTAGGCCTACAATATGGATGGTAAAATTGTAGGCAATTATCGAGTAAATTAAAATTAAGGATGAAATCGTCAATTTACTTAATATAATGTAAATTTAATGTGAAAACTCAGTACAAAGTTTACTTTTACATTGTCAATTTCCGTACAACGTTTGAGAATCCAAAATTTCACTTTTGAAGGTTTGATGTCATTTTTATACTACCTGAAAAGTTTGAGGAGTGAGAGTAATGCATTAATTTTCCTGCGTACGGTAAAATATGTCGGTAGGGACCCAAAAACGTTTAACGTAAAAGAGGAAGGATGTAAAGTTTACGTTTCAAAAAACTCGTGCGCCAAAATTTATGGTTCGCTATTTTTCCCCAAAAAAAAAAAAAAAAAAATTTGATAAGTGGGACCCATTAGAATGGCACAAGAAACGGAGCAACAACAATCAACTACCAAAACGACAAATCTCAGCCCTCCATCCATTCATATCTTCGTCTCCTTGAAGTTGGGGTTGGACTTTGTAATCTCTCTCTCTCTCCCTCCCTCATATTTTTCTATCTTGGGAGTTGTGAAAATTAGCTTACAACAATTACGAGGAGAAAATACTAATCGGTTAGCAGAAAATTAGTGTATATATAATTTAGACCAGGAAGTTGTTAATTTAGTCAGTTTAACAGCTGGGTTTATGGAGGAAATAAATAAGAAAATAGGAGGAGAAGAAGGGAGCTTAAATGGGTTCTCTCCAGTTTCTTCTACTCCAGTTTTTTGGAAATCTAGGAAAAGATCAGGTTCGTTTATATACTTTTTCTTAAACAGCAATAGGAATGAGTTTATTTTCCTATTTTTTCAATTATTTTTTGTTTATTTGATGTATTCGCTAACTGATGGAATGATTTTCTTTAGTAGATTTATGTGAAATTCAATTATAAGTTATAATTTTGATTCACTTTTCTGCTAGTTATGTGCAGGCTGCAGTTGTAAGACAGGAAATTCTTCTTGATATTTACGAGTTCAAATTTATTTTTATTTTAATTTATTTTTGTAGGGGGTGGGGTAGGGATGGGCGTTGGGTTTGCTCGAAGGTTTATTCTTTAGCTAACCATGGTTAGAATTGATTACCAGCTATTTGTGCTAAGACTATTCAAATTTTTTTCTGTTTTATTTGAATGATCTCGACCTTTATTAGCCCAGTTTGCCCCCGTTAAATTACTTTTCTCTTTTATTTTTCTATGTTCAATCACACAATATTTTATAAAATAATATTACATAAAACTTTTCTTTCCTTTTCAACTACTCATTTTTCAAAAAAATACTATTCTACCCATTTTCATTTCAAAAGAGGGAGGTCAAACGGGAGCTTAAATAAAAGAATGATTTGTTCAATAATTATGCACGTTGACTTTTGGAATAATTGGAACATTGTGTATTGTTGTTCTGGTCCTTGAAATTAAGATTTTCCTCTCAAAAAAAAATTATTTATTGATTAATCAATTAATAGAAAATTGTTGGGGGTAGTTTCGAGTTTTAAGCAAGTTATTTTTACTTTTAAGTGACTTTTGTGTGTTAACATGTTTGAAAATGTTACCTTCCTCTTACGTATAACTAAGAATGTACACTTATTTTTGACATAAGATAAAGATTATTTCAAAATAAGTAACTTGCATATTTGCAACTTTGATCCGCCCAAAAAGTTAGTTATTTATTTGTTAATACTACTTTAAACTTGACCAAACATCCAATGAATACAATGGTTTTGTATACTATTTTTCTATCTAATGCAACAATTATAGTTCATTGATTTGCTGAAATAGTTGTTGTTGTGGAGCCATCTTCTTTTTTATTTGTTCAATGTAAACCTACTGTTTTGCAAATTGATGCTGCTTGATTGTAATTTCTTTTTAGGAGGCCGAGAAACTATAATGTTAACCGTAGTTTTCTTAGTAGATATTCAATTTAAGTTATTTCAATTTCATAACATGGTCCCACAATTATTTTGTATATTACTCATTAGGACCAATGTCCATGAATATTTCTCACTACTCTCTTTATGTGCACCTTAAGGTACTCAAGCTAATTAAAGATATCGCGAGGACATAAAGAAAAGCTAAGGAGAGGAAGAATTTGCTTATACTAAATAAAATTCATCAAAAAAACTATACAAGTGATTGGTATACTTTTCCCATGAATAACTTCATGATGATGGCAACAATCATAGTAATGACAATGCTATCCCATCTTTATAATGCATTTGTATATTTAGAATCTATTGACTGGTCAGATGGATCATTTCTTGCTTGAAAGAGCTTTTCATTTTTTAGTTCCTAACTCTTGACATTCTGATAGTCAAATTAGTAGTTACTTCGGTATAATTTAGTTTATCGAAAGCAAGTAAACAATTTTGCTGAGTGGATTTGCATATTCGCTTTTGCGTGTGGGGTTCCAGTACTATTTAAACGAGTTTAAAAGTTGATTTACGCATGGAAGTTCTCCCCTTGGTAGAGCATTTTTTTCAGTTAGTGGAGGAGTAGTTGCTTATGTGGTTACCACTTTCTTAATTCTAGCATGTTTGGCACTATAAAAAAAATACTTTTTATTCACGCATCTCGTAGGACCCATAATTTATTACCCACTAATTATTTACACCATTAAGTATGACACACAGCCTGTGTTATCCAAATGCTTCTCCCTACAGTTTTGGAGCTTGTTGAAAGTATTGACTTTGGTTGTGCCAGATTCTTTTGTAGAGAGTTGTTTTGAGGTTAGGTTCGTTTAGCATCCCTCTGAGCATTCCTTGATAGTCTGCTCATCTGAGCAAGGCTAGTTGTCCTTGCACATCTTTAATGTGCATAGTTGATCAAACTGAATGATTGTCTATGAGGTCAAGTCGGATCTCAGTTGGCCCATCGGACTTGTCCATGCATTATGCATGTGATGTGTCCCACTCATCTGATTGGATGTATTTACTACATATGCAAACTGGAAATGGATTTGCTAGTCATCAGTCATGTGATGTCTCAAACCATCTTTTTAATTTTTAACATTTATTAGTGATATTTCATATAAAGATGCATCATACATTTGAAAGTTTCAAGTTTATTTTCCAGAGTGCCTCCAAAGCTAAGTCTACTTTAGCATCTATAACTGTGTAACACTACTTATGTTTCAAGAAAGCTTATTTATTGATTGTTCAAAAAGGAAAATAATCGAAAGCTTGTACTCACGTATTCCTGAATCATGACTTGTCTTACGGTACAGTTTAACAGTGAGCTTCCTTATTTTTAGATGTGAGGTTCATACGTGGGGAAAAATTTGGAAATTTTAGAGGTTTTGTTGAATCACTTGTTCTAAAAGCTTGAGCTAGAGATAGGGCCACACGCATATTATTTAAATATTGTATTCAACACGCTCTAACATGTGGAGGAGTTTTATTTTTTCCATTAAAGCCTTATGCCTGGATATTGGGAATCGAGTTACATTTTCTGTCTAGTGTGCACACATCCCACCCCCACCCCCCGGAATCAAATTCTTGGTTTTTGGTCCCTGCATGGTTCATACTCGGTGGTCACTTCTTTCAGCAACGAGTGCAAAGAATCTAGACAGTGCAGTAAATGATTCCAAAACTGAAAAAGCGATGGAAAAACAAGAAGATACTATCATGGATGAAAACCAGCAAGAATCAAACAGTGTTTCCGTTCTTTCTGAGAAACGGAAGGCTTTATTTGAACCACTGGAACCCGTAAGTGGTCGACGACCTTCAGCTGAATCCTTACTTCCGCCTCCTGACTTTGAATCCGCTAGCTATCCAAAGGGGTGGCTGATTGGGAAGAGGCGAAAGCTAGTAAATGTTGACGTTGTCGAGAGTATGCGAAGGATTGCAGTACAGGAAATAAATCGAAAGGTGCTTATGCCATTTGGCTCCTATTTTCTGATATGATTGAATCGTAAGATATTGCTTAAACAATAGGTAATGCATGCAGGATAGGGAAATAGATGGCCTGAATGTGCAATTAGAAGAGGATGCTCGAGTCTTAGAGCATCTTCAACTCCAGCTACTCGAAGAACGAAGCAAGCGCACTGATGTAGAGAGAACAAATGCTATGCTGCAAGACCAAATTACAATGCTTATGAATATGTTACAAGAGAATGAACCAGAAGAGGATGATGGACCCGACGAGCCCTGAATTTCATTTTTTCTTTTCTTTTCTTTTCGTGCCTTATTCTTTTGTATATTTATATCCCGAAGTCTTAAAATATGCTTTATTGTAGATGTATTGTCTCTTCTTCCTGGTTTTGCTCTTGTAGTTTTTATTTGATTACCATGTAAGGTGAGTTAGAGAGTATTCAGTACTGAATGTGTATGAAGATGTTATAATTCTGCATGGTTTGTTGCTGTTGAAATACTGAATGAATTAAGTTGCACAAAATACTGATTAGTTTTTATTTCGTCTTCCTCAGTGGGATGATATTTGTCATTTTATAGCATTTTGCTCAATACAATAATTTTTGTACGCTTAGACCAGTTCTCTTGACATGTTAACCTTGTAGGGTTGTTTCTACAACTTGAAATCCAGTACACATTCTCATTTCTTTCGTATACATTGATATATTGATATATTAACTGGAACAAAGAAAAATGATTTACGTAGTCCACACCAAACTAGGTTAGCTTTGCCTTCTACCTATTTTTCCTCGAGAAAATTGCAGCAGAGATCCTTAATGTCATAGCAATGTATGAATTTCGATGTATTTTAAATTTTTTTGACACCACAAAGTATTCGATAGACCATATAAATTCCAAATTTCCTATCTTTTTATTGACTTAATCTGTTGATTCAGTGAATTTACAATAACAACACGAACTCAAATCATAGAATTTAAGGATAAGTCAAATAGACTTCGATGGTATTTAGCAACCAACAAAGTCGAAGGTCCTATAAAGATTGGTGAAAGTCTATATCGAATCTTCAATATGAAAACCGGAAGCCAGGACATAAATAAAATGCAAAAAGGTATGTGCTCATTGTACTTACAATGAAAGGTAAATTCAAGATGAACCCAGACATTCAAAACCAACAATCGGGATTCTTCATTAATCTCAATTTCAATATCCACATAAACCTACTATGGCACATGCATACACAAGTTACAGGGGCAAATTAGTCGACCCTTAATAACAAATGGATTATCTAGCTCGATTCTCATAATCCTCTGAGATGTTGAACAAGAACTACGGCAAAGATGCTATCCTAGGGAGATTGAGCAACAACTCTCCAATGGAATCCTTCCTGGAAATCATTGGCACCTGTTTATCAACAGAGGAATCATTCGTTTCATCCTCAGAGATGCCATGATTCTCTTCAACCTTGATTTTGCTTGAAGAAGCCTGAAAAATGTTCGATTCACCATTTTTCTTTTCCACCAAAGACATTTGGGTACCACTTGTACTTTTACAATGCATGTCGAGATCCGAATTGACCCTTGACATGAGAGACTTCTCATCAGACTAGCATATGTTGGATGTCACTAAACAGGTCGGGGTCTTCAAATTAACCAAACAAGGCGTTGACCACAGAAACCAAATTGATTTGGGCGAACTAATCAACCCAAGCGGTTCAATTTTAAATTCACAGCAGATATCGCCCAAATCCTAAAGCTTGTACACAAAATAAATACCGGAAGAAATCAAACAAGTATTAGCTTTCTAACTATGTTCTTAGTACTGCTTCTTGATCAGAGACTCCAAATCTCTTGCTCTCTTCCGCGCGTTGCCTATTGTTCATTAATTAGTAGGTTCCTCGAGTTAATTGTTCCAATGGTCAACTTAGGTTCATGTCTTTCATTAATCATTGAAATTTAAAATGTCGAGTTTTGGTCACTGAACTTAGGTCCATATCTTTTATTGCTCACTGAAATTTAAAATATCGAGTTTTGACCACTGAACTTTGAAAAATGTTGTATATTACTCATTGAATTTTGAAATACATTACTCACTGTAAATTTCATATTTTTCAAAGTTAAACAGTTATGCTAGTGAATAACGTACGGCATATTTCAAAGTTCAGTTGTCAAAACTCGACATTTTTAATTTTAATGAGCAATCGAAGATATGGACCTAAGTTCAATGATCAAAACTCGACATTTTAAACTTCAGTGACCAATCAAAGATATGGATCTAAGTTCAGTGACCATTAGAACAATTAACTCAGGTTCCTCGCCCTTTTTCTTTACACACTTTCATTGGAATAGCTAATAAAAGTACAAATTCTATATTTGTGATTGTAGAAATTAAATCTGTTGAAATTGAAGTAACTGAACATTAGGTTTCTTTCATTATATAAAATTATAATGGTAAATGCATACTTGATTGATGATTTTTTTTAATAATTATTTGTGTAGTATAATCGTGTCTCTGCTTTATATAGATTAAAATTGAATTTTGATAAAAACTAAGGAAATATGTAGTTGAAAAGTTGTGGACCTGATGAAATGTTTGATTGAAATTAATTGTTGATTTTGACTTAAGATTAGAATCAAATTTCAATCAAGCTCTTACATGGGCATGTCACATCCAAAGTTTTTTGGTTACAAAAAGTTTCTATAGAAATAGTATAGAATATAAAATTGAAATTGTCCCTCGCTTCAACTACCCTAGTTAGTGGTTGAACCGGTGACCCAGGATCCACTAACTTATCTTGCTTTATTTTTTATAAGAACCATTGTACTACATCTACATAACAATTTACATAATGATTTATCAACATATGATGTGACGAGATTTAATTGAATCCATCAATCGAGTAACTTTCCCACTCACATTTTAACACATTATCATTATGTAAAACATTACGTAAATAGTCATGTACAATAAGCATTTTCCTATGAATAATATTGTCTAACACCAGTGGCGGTAGAGCACAATCTAAATTGCTACATTTTATAGATTCAATTAAACGAATCATGTGAATTTGCATTTTAATGAATATATCATCTAATATCATGTAATTGTCATTTAGACTCGTACTTACATCAATGGCAATGAATAACATTACTCTTTTTTATAACAATGATCCAAGCAACATGGATAATAATAGAAAATTTTAAATAATCATGAGGTTTTTTTCACGAGAGTAATTTGCAAATTTTTAATGTACAAAACATAAGTACCACTATATCAGTTCTTGCCTGATTGCACAGTCCCTCTCTTTCCGCTTGGTACCAGATCTCGTGTCACAGATACAGGAATGGGTTATTGTTTCATCACGAATGAGCATCTTCTTGCAGTTAAACAACTAGTAAATTCCCTTTCTTTATCACTTCACAAGAGTCAAGCTCAATAATTGGCTCCATCAAACCTCCGAGATGTTGAAGTTCAGCAGTTTGTAACATCCAACCCCAAGTTGTTGAAGCAGTTGGTCTTTCTCAGAGGCAAGATTGACAGCAAGGAAAATTTAGATTCAAGTCCCAACAACTTCACTTCTCAAGAATCATAGTCTATTGTGTCCGTACTAGTATTTTGAGACGTTGATTGCTTAATTAGACGTCCTTCTTCATCATACAAATCAAGAATCTCACACGGCTTGGGGAAAATCTTACCAATCACGCGTCCTTGGACAAAAGAGCACTGGAAAATTCGCTTCTTCTTGTAGGTTATTCCCACTAGCATGTCTTGGAATGTGACATTCCGTACAGGAATTTCTTGGCTGCCATAGATACGGACTGGAATACGAACTCCCTGTCCACGAATCCCGTTAAAGCTTATGTCCCCAATGAATGGAAGGGCGTTGGGATTATAGCCTTCATCTGGATGCTCGTTATAGTCAGTCTTCATCACAATACCCACCCGCACGTTATCTAATGTTAGGTTTTGGTAGCTAATTTGTCGAACATATCCACCCCTACCAGCGCTTGTCTTGATTCTAATACCCCGTTTGGAGTTCCAAACAATGAGATTCTCCACCGTTACATTCGAGACTCCGCCAGACATTTCACTGCCAATCGATACTCCTGCACTGTTAGGCATGGAAGGAAGTCAACAAGAGAACCAGTGGAAGGTCCATACATCCACTGTGTCTATTAGTTAAACTACTTTTTCTGTATTAAGATAGATCCATCCTAAATTTGGTTTCACATCCAGAATTAGAGACTTCTATCAAAGGAGCAGTTTGTTAGATCAAGCTATGCGTAATGGCATCAACTGGTAATATGCATGCACTGAAGCAGAATACAATATAGAACTGTCACCTTATCATTGAACGCACAGTGACATTACGAATGAGAATATTGGTTGAAGGCCGGGCATAAGCAATTCCATACTGATCCCATCCACTCTTGATAGCAATTCCATCATCGCCCACGCTTATGTAACTGTTCTCTATCACCATATTCACGCATGAATCTGCAGAGACCACCAGCTACAATATAAGTCCATATGCCGTACATAAATTACGAGAAGAGCTGGCTGTATATCAACGACAAGCAACATATATGGAAAGGGTAACAAACTTATCATTTCAAAAATGAAGAGGAAAATGCAAGAATTTAGAACTAAAATAAATGAATATATGTTTCTGTTATAGTAAAAGTCTAAAATTCATTCAGCCATCGCTGTATTATTAATGGACAAGTCTGTAAGTTCGTTTCTAATTGAAGTCCCTATTTGCCTGGCAAACTTCTCCCTGACAATGACTTGTCCGTAGCTAACCTGGACACAGACCACTGAATATGACCTCACAGGTTTGCAATTCTGGTTTGCTTGAATAGAATAACATGTTTCTATTGCTCTATAAATAATCATTGGTTCACACATATAATGATTCCTATTTCTTTTAAGAATTTCCTTTCCTTTCAACATTGTGACTTATCATGAATTCATGTCAAAAGAATAATTGAATTCAAGCATACCAGGATCTATTCCATCAGTGTTCGGAGCATCAGACTGCGGCGCCAATATGGTTATATTTCTGATAGTAATATTTTGACAGTCATAAGGATGAAGCGTCCAAAATGGAGAATCACGCAAAGTAATATCAGATATCTGAATGTCTCTTGACCACATAAGCTGCACTAGTGGACCTCGTGTGTGGTTCAGAAGTTTCTTACGATACTTAATCCACCATGTCTGACCTTGCCCATTGATAGTACCATTATGTCCTGTTGATTAGTTATTCAAAAAATGTTCTCAATATATTACTTGGAATTTTAAAACTATACATAGAAAAATATGCCATTCAAAAGAAAAACTGCAGTAGGGGCTAATTGGTGTACATTAAATTTATTAAACGTTCAATTATGATATAAATCAACTCCAAAAGACCAAAAGGCATCACATCTCCAAAATCCATTCTGCGAACAAAAATTTTCCAACTCAAATGTAATGCCTCCAAAATTATTATGAACTATAGAAGACCTTAAATTAACGAAGCACAAACTGACGAAAAGCAATAGGAATGGAAGATCCCTTAATGCATGCAAACGAGGAATTGGTTAAAACCATGAGTAACATTCTCAGGTTTCACGGGGTGCCTTTCTTCTTGGCATAGAAAGGGACACCGTGCGGCAGTAGTCTGCTCCGCTATACTACCTTCTGCCTTTTCTCGGTCGCGTCGGGATGAAAGAAAATTTGATTACAATTTTGTAGAAAACTTACAATAGAGAATTTGAATACATTGAAACTAAATTGAACATTAATTGATGAAAACTGAACATTACAATTGATGAAAGCAGAAAATTACAATTGCTGATGCAGTGGGTGGGCACCAGTGAGCTTGAAAGATTTTTGAATGACTAATACCCCCTATAATAGCATTCTGAACAAAAACATAAGTAACAGGAGTAGACGTTTAAAAGACGAGGAATCATACTAAACGTTTACCAATATCATAGCTATTTTATAACTGAAATGACTACTACAATGAAAAGAAAATTACAACTCAAACTGGAAGTAATATTTACAATGTGCGGCCGAAGTTGGGCAAACTACGGCTGCGATAGTGTCAAGGGACTAAGTAAAGTTGCAGTCCTTGACATTCTCCCCCATTTGTTTTGGCGACGTCCTCGGTGCCATCAATGCATGATATGCTTCAATTAATGGTTTGAAGACTCCGAGATCTTTTCTCTTTCCCAAGTATTCTCCTCGCTGCTGCATCCCATCCATTTGATCAAGTACTCCTGATGATCTTTTCTAGAAGCTCGAGTGATTCGATAGTCAAGAATAGCTTCAGCAACCTTCTTTCCAGCTTTCTTTAGTTCAAACACAGGTCGCTTTGGCTCATTTCTAGATGCGTCCTCCTTATCCGCAAAGTATGGCTTCAACACTACCATGAAAGGCCTTGTGGATTTTACACCATGAAGGGAGTTCAATTCTGTATGCAACTCTTCCAATCCTTTTCACGATGGGTAATGGTCCAATGTATTTTGGCGACAATCTTGAGTCCTTCCCTCTTGTTGGTTTGTAAACATTTCTGTCGGAAAGCTTAACCATTACCAGATTTCCAACATTGAATTCAATGAAACGGCACTTTAGATCTGCAGCCTTTTTATACCGTTTTTGAGCTTTCACAAGATAACTCCGAACAATTTCAATATTTCATTTCCACTCTTGAGAAAAGTTCTTTGCTTAAGGGGACTTGGTACTTCGTTCGATATCCACTGTATGAGGGAGTAGCGATTGAGGGCCAGTAACAATCTCAAAAGGACTCTTATTGGTAGAAGAGCTCTTTTGGGCATTGAAGCAAATTTGGGCCGCATCCAAAAGTTTTACCTAGTTTTTCTGCAAAGTAGAGATAAAGTGCCAAAAATATTCTTCTAGCATAAAATTGAAGCGCTCCGTCTGTCCGTCAGATTCAAGAAGTTTGAACAACTCAGTCCAAAATATGCCAGTGAAACGAGGATCTCGATCACTGACGATGTCCTTAGGCAACCCCCAGTATTTGACAATATGTTTGAAGAAGAGTTGAGCTGTCTCTTCCGCAGATACATACTTAGGCGCTGCAATGAAAGTTGCATATTTTGATAGACGGTCCACCACGACAATGATAGTGCCAAAATCCTCAACTTTTGGCAACCCAATAATGTAGTCCATCGATACACTTTCGAATGGCCGGGTTAGGACGAAAAGGGGCTCCAGCAAGCCCGCCTTTTTCTGATGATCTGCCTTATCTTGCTGACAAATAAGATAGGTTTTTACATATGTTGCAATGTCGTCCCGCATTTGAGGCCAGTAGTATGCACGTTGCAGTAGTGCACAAGTGCTTTCCTCTTTGGGATGTCCTGCCCAAATTGTGTCATGGCATTCTGTAATTAGTGATTTCCTCAGATCTCCGCCCTTAGGAACATATAGGTGGTCTCCCTTTGTCTTCACTAGTTCCCCATCAAACCAAAACTGTCGAGTTTTACCCTGCTTGATGAGGTCGACCAAATATTGGATAGCCCGGTCCTTCTCCATAAGTGCCCGAATTTGGTCTCTAGTGTTTGTGGAGACTGCGCTCCCTGAAAGAGCAGCTACGGAACAGATGGAAGCTAAATCGGCCCGTCGACTAAGAGCATCAACAACATGATTACTAGAGCCAGGACGATACTCTAACATAAAATTGAACTCTGAAAGGAATTCCTGCCAATGAGCATGTTTGCTCGACAGTTTTGGTTGGGACATGAAGTGACTAACTGCAATGTTATCTGTCTTCACAATAAATGGAGACCCAAGCAAATAGTGACGCCATCCTTTGAGATAATGGACTACTGCCAACAATTCCTTTTCATGTGCCGAGTAACGACGATCTGTCTGGTTTAACTTCCGGCTCTCATATGCTACCGAATGTCCTTCTTGCATGAGGACTCCACCAAGTGCAAAATCTAAAGCATCTTTATGAATTTCAAATGGTTTAGCCATATCCGGTAAGGCTAAAATCGGATTCGTCCACATGGACTTCTTCAACCTTTCAAAAGCAGCTTAGCATCGGGATGACCAATCACAATCCTTATCCTTCTTTGTCGATTCAATAAGTGGCAGTGCAATTTCTGAGTAGTCTTTCACAAATCTTCGATAGTAATTGCATAACCCAAGAAATGAACGTACATCATGTACGGTTTTTTGTGGTTGTCAATCTTTGATGGCTGTAACCTTCTTCGAATCCATGCGATTTTACCTTGTTCAATGATGTGACCCAAGAAACTGATAGATGTCTGAGCAAATGAGCATTTAGACAGCTTAACATAAAGTTCATTATCCCGTAGCCGATTAAAAACTTGCCTCACATGCTGGACATGTTCCTCCAATATCTCGCTGTAGATTACTATGTCATCCAAGTACACCACGACAAAATCAACTAAGAACCTGTGAAGTACCTGATTCATCATAGTACAAAATGTTGCTGGAGCGTTTGTTAAACCAAAAGGCATTACTTTAAATTCAAAGGCTCCATATCTAGTTACCACCGTAGTCTTTGCTTCGTCCCCCTCCTTGATCCGAACTTGCCAGTATCCGGACCTAAGATCAATTTTTGTGTAATACTTCGCCCAACTAAGTCGATCAAAGCAATCCGCAACCAGTGGAATAGGATAGCTATTCTTTACAGTAATCTTGTTCAAGGCTCGATAGTCGCAGCACATTCTAAGAGAACTATCGGCCTTTTTCTGAAACAATACAGGAGCTCCGTATGGCGACTTCGCAGGCACAATGATTCCACTCTCCAACATTTCTCCCAATTACTTCCTAAGCTCTTCAAACTCAGGCTGAGACATACAGTATGGTGCCTTAGCGGGAGGTTTGGCGCCTGGAATAAGTTCAATCTCATGATCAATCGTCCTTCTTGGTGGTAATTTCTTTGATAATTCTTCCGGCATGATGTCCTCAAATTCCCGAATAAGCCATTTGGTTCCAATTATGTCTATTTTAGAGTAGATTATTTTAACATTTTGATAAGGTTATTAAAAGTTCTTTTGATTTTAACTTCTTTGCCCTAATAAAAGGCAACTAGGTTTTCATTATTTGTAGACTTCGATTAATTATTAAATATATTCTTCTCCATTTTCTTCTATTTCTTCTCTTTCTCTTTCTCTTCCCTATTTCTATTTCTGTTGTAAGTTCTGCATCATTCTCCCTCTCTGTTTTTTTACTTTTTTTTTCTTCATATTTCCAAATAAATGACGTCTCTGTGAACCCTTGCTAAATTGTTCCATATAAAATAATGCCTACACTTTTTTCTGACAAAACTGGAAACATAATTCTTTACAGTCTGAGAAAAAATTTGTGTCGCAGTATGAATCCCGTAAACAAATAGACACGGGAATAATAGAGAGTGTGTGTTCTAGCATTCATCAACAAGTTAATCATTAAACACAAGTTATAAGGCTTTAGTTTGTTGTTCTAACATTATGTTTTAAATTGCATCAGTTGATCCACATGATCTAGCAGCTGAATATATTGCATATAATAAGAAATAAATTAGTCTCTGTCTTCCATTTGAAAAATATTTATGTGATCAAGAGGTGTTACTCACTCATTAATCACTTTGACGAAGATTTAAAACACGTAAGTAGTGGTGGACTCATTCAGGAACGCTACTTGTAAATCCAATGAGTTATTTTTGTAATTTTTATTTGTAGAAAGAAAACTATGTAAAAGATTGAACTCCAAATTTAGCGGTGATCAACGCAATAAACTGACCTGTTATGACAACATCTTTCAGATGTTGACCGTGAATCAAACTTCCATAGCGTGGTCCAGGACATTCTCTTCCATATCCATATGATGGCAAAGGAGGCATCAGTGGCCAATGATTTTCATCCTGTGTCGTGTAATGAGAGAATAAAGTGCATTGACACTAATGTGGTTGGCTCATAGAACAGATTATTCTGGCAGCCCAACAAAATTAACATATAACATTGACAGAGTTATTTTTGAAAAAAAATAAAATAAAATAAAATAAAAAATCCCAGAAAACATTGCAACCAGAAGCTTCTCCATATTTCTTTCAGTTAATCCCAAGACATGTCATAGTAACAAGCCAGCAAGAAAACAGAAGCTACATGTCCAGAAGAAAGAAATTAGGTATTCATCGTACCACTGCCAAATTAAAAGACATCTCGAAACCAATTTTCAATGGAAAATTGTTCTTGTTAGTTCATATGCACACCATGATCCAAAGTTTTGTCACGTTAAGGCTCAGAGGGAAAAAAACAAAGCTTAATTAGAAGTTTTCAGATAGGTTTATGGAATGTAATGGACCTTGTCATATATCAGGAATACATGAATTATTTGTGTTAATAATTTGATATTTCTATTCCAACATATGTGTGGAAAACATACTTATGTTCTAATCATCTTGGAGAAGTTTCAATACATTTAATAATTTCACATAGCAAAATTGAAAATACAATCATTTCTGGAAATTCTAAGATTCCAAACTACAATCTGTTTCTTTTATGCATATTTTGAAAATGACACTTGCTGAATGTCTATAGGAACGTGTCAAAAACATGAAACCAGAATCTACATGTTTCAAAAAAAAGCTTTCTAATTGAAAACATGAAATTAGAGAGACAACTTTTACTTCATTTTTCTCCTTAAAATTGCAAATAACAATTCAAAGCTCAAGAGCAAATATACACAGCTCAACAATGTCCAATGTTCCCCAACACTGAGCAATATGAATTTAGCTACTTCCTCGTAGTTTCTATTATGTGAGTTTCCTTGAACAAAATTTAGCTCACTTTAACATGCTCATGTTAAAAAGATTTGCAATTCAAGTTATAATTTTAGGGATTGAATAGGCTACAGAGTGGAGAAGATAGGAAGCCAAACGGAATTGAACAGAAAATGGCCATAATGGTTAAATGTACAAGAGGATTACGTGGGAGCATAATAAGGCCTGTCGGAGTTTCATGCATCTTGGCTAATTGAAAAGACAATCAAGTATATAACCGGAATTCCGTCTTCTCCAGCTCCAAAGATGCCATCCCACTTCTAAGACAAGGTCAAAACTGCCATTTTATCTAGGTCTGATCACAATTCTTATCAATGTTAATCACACAGGGCTATTGAAGACAACCAATAATAAGAAAGCTTAGTTATACAGGAACAAGAGAGCATGGTCGAGAATTAGAGAGTTGAAAAGGGGAAAGTAGAGTTTACCCTTCTAATTACAGTATCAAGTTCCATCCGTATTGAGTTGATGGCTACACTGATTAAGGCAAAAATCCCTTATCCTGGGTTGGCAAGAGTTTCAAGTTGGAATATGATAGCTCATCTTTGGCCACCACTGCATCCCATTTGGGAGAGGAGGTGGGATTGGTTATCCTGAGACATGTACTCTTCTCGATTCTCAGTTACGAAAACGTGGACTAGATTATTTTCAGGGTTTTAAGGTTTTATCCAGAACTTTATTTGTCATAAACTAACCACAAGCTGAGGTAGACACCAAGGGAAAATAATGTAAAGATGAAATGACTTCCCAAAAGAGTTCTATATCCATGATTCATTTGGCAACTGTCAAAAAAGTGGCTGCATGTTAATGAACTCCCAATCTCCAAGGATGAGTCATCTCTGATTAAAAAGGAAGCTGCACTTCAGGAAAACTGATACATATTCCCCCAAAATGAATGATAAGGATATGAACCCAATATGAGTAATAATATCAACCCCAGTAAGATGGAAAACATCAAATTACTTTGATTTGGCAAGTCAACAAGGCCTGTCTGGCCTCATTTTATACTTCAAACTTGACCCAGGTCCTTTTATATAGTTTAGCACATCAAATATAGCTTTGTAGCAAATCGATAACTAACAAACATATTCACTCTCTCTTTGCTTCTTTTTGCCATGTTTGATGAAGTGGATGAGAAACAAGAACACCAAATTTTACAACAAGAATTATGAGATAAACCTACTTTTATCATACAAGTCAACTAGATGTGGTTCAAGACAAGGTCAGCTTTTATCTATATAAAGGACATCAGATGTCGGGTAAGACTTTATCCATCCATTTCAAGCACGGACACAGTGGCTTTATAACATTCCCAACAGCACGTTTGCAATGCCATTTTATTAATCAGATATTAAATTAGAATACAGAGGAATGGAACGGAATGTATTGTAGACGAATACAATTCCGAACAGTTATCAGGAAAAATGGCGCTTGCTACTCACTCATCTATCCAGTAGTCACTAACGCGCTCCAATTCCATGTTAAGAGAAGCTACTAGCAATCCCACCCCCAAAAGGTAATACTCGTAACCATATTGCACCCTTCACCAACGATAGCCATCTGAACTACGTACAAGCATAGTCCACTTTGGTAATACAAGAAAAGGGGTACTTACATCAGTTCCAAGAACAACGGAATTTTCCGAGAGAAATAGGGTCATATGGCTGGTAAGGTTAAAAGGAGCTGTGAGCCACCTTCCAGCCTCCACATTAAGCTGGCCGCCACCCCGCTTTCGAATTTCTGCAACCGCCCTCTCAAAAGCCTTCGTATTTAAAGTCACGCCATCGCCAACTGCTCCAAAATCCGTGAGACTGAAAACAAGAGATCGAAGCCTCGGGATGGGGCGGGGGGGTGGTATCCAGAACCGATCGATAGCTGTCCTTTGCCACGCGACAATTAGGATGAATCCAATGGCCCAAATGAGAGTAAAGAGGATCCAACGGGATGAGAAAAGCAATGAGAGCGTGCGTTTGTAGTCGAATCTGAATTTGTTGCTATTCCGGTATTGAAATCTGAAAGAATCTGCCATTGATTGATGCGATTATGGAATGGAGAGCATCAATCTAGGGATTTATGTTCGATTTAAATTTAACTAACTCAAACAAAGTGGTGTGGAGCTTTCAACCAGCGACAATCTCAACTTACTCGACCTCTCTTAGCGCTAATACGGTGCTTAATCTTTTGGGAGAGATTCTAACTTTGTATTAAAGCGACACCATCTTCAAGTTTATTTAGGTGAACTTTTTCCAATATCTTTCTTACTTTCGAATATACTTGTATTTAATGCCAAACTTTATTAAGAACATTTTTTTTTTTTTTGTTTGAATTGAATTGAGTTATGTAAACAGAATAATACTTATTGTACGGTCAAAATTCTAGCACAAGAAGGTCGAATTATATACTTTATTCGATACAAACTCTTTTTTTTTTTTTTTGGAAGATTCGCTATGGTAATGAGAAAGATTTATGTTTAACCCTCATTTCAATGTCAACCAACATTATATAATTAGAATGGAGTTATTGAGGATATATAATACTGAAACTATCCACATATCGAATGACTTGTTGTTATCCTTTGAATTCGTAAATCACTTGTTAAGTAATGACAAGTAGAGTTGCCATCATTGGTGGACCTTTTTATTTTAAGAGTTTCAACCATATCCTACTTGTAGAACCCCAAATAATTCTAGACACTTTAGTGGCACTAAGACATGAATATTGGATGACTAAAGTATACTTCAGATTTTTAGTCTCATTTGAGACCCATTTTCAACATAGGAAACATTTGATTTGAAAAATGATATCTAAATAAAAATTGTAGCTTTTGAGTTAGCTTTCCAACGCACTTTGAATTACCTCAATCGGATATCGGGAGAAGAAGTTATGATAGAAACATTGAAAATTGTGCAGTGTCAACCGAACTACAACCGATCGACCGAAACTGCCTGAAATGAAAATTCTCGTTTTTCTCTAGAATTTAAATATTTATTTTCATCAATTATTTTCTCAAAGGGTCACCCACGTTTTTGGCAATAAAAACCCCCCACTAAATTGAAGCATTAACCTCAAACTTAAATGGCACCCATGTTTTCTCTCTTAAATGAAATTTGATCCTTCATTTGCTTTAAGTTATGGAATATTTACCTCTAAATAAAGACCTCATTTCATTCACTTTTCTCACACCAAAAGTAAGAGTTTTTACATACTAAAAAAAGAGTTTCCAAGAGAGAAAAAGAGATGGAGGAAAACTATTTTTCCTAGAAGTTTAAGAAGTGTTTTCAAATATCAATTCTCAACGCTTTTCAAACATCCAAGGAGTGCATTTCTTTCAACGTTCAAGTTTCATTGAAATTTTCAATCCAAGTTTTCGAAGTTTCAAAAGCATCAATCAAGGTAGGTAGATGTGCAATGTGTTTAATCGTGTTAAGTTATAAGTTTCGATTCATGTTAATGTTCGTATGTCAAATTGTACTCCGGTACGGCATATCCCTCTATGTTAATGGTTGTATGTCAAATGGTACTCCGGTACGACATACCCCTCTATGTAGAAGAAATGTTCGTATGTCAAATGGTGCCCTCGGGTACGGCATACCCCTTTATGTCAAATGGTGCCTCCGGGTACGGCATATATGAAAAGTTATAAAGTTAATGTTTTGAAATGTATAGCTTGATCACAAATGCACCTATGACACCTATTGAGTTTTTCAACTCACAGGTTTAACCACATCTCTACAGATTGAAGAAATTCTACGTAGGGCATGGATGGAGGAGAAAATGGAGAGTGATGCAACGAGCCCATGGAAATCTGGTGAATAAGCGATTTGGATTTATTTTTATGAAATGTTTTCCAATGTTATTTCTTTAATGTTTTGAATAACACAGAATACGAGAACAAGTTATGTTTTCTTCAAATAAATTACATTTTGTTGTTTTGAAAAATGATTCAGTGTTTTTGTTTAAAATATTTGAAATATTGTTATTTAAATTATTATCCGAAAATGTAAGCTTCCCCTAAAATATATACACTTGTTACTAAACCACCGGTTAAGCTAAGTAAAGTAAATAGCGTTCCGGTCCACTAGAGGTCGGGGCGTTACAGCATGGTATCAGAGCAAGGTTTAGCCGGTTCTGTAGACCAAGTATGTTTTTTTAAAAAAATAAAAGGAAAATGAAAAGTTTAAAGTATTCCATAGCATCGTGCATCCATCCATCAATCTCATCTTTTGGCCCAGGTATGTTCATGTTTAAAGTTAATGATTATGTTTATGTTATGATACTTTGATATGATTTAGAAATGTGTTATTTAAAGATATGTAATGGACTTGGGCAAAAGCTAAGGGTTTAAAGGGAATTGCATGATATAAAAGTTTAAATATTTGCATGTTTTCTTTAAGCAAAGAAAAAGTATGATGTATGTGAAAATGCAACAGATATAGCTCGTAGAACGGCTAGGGCATATAGAGAAGCGTTGAACTGTAGAATTGCTATTCATTCCTATGAAAACTATGTAACTGATCCGACCCGACCGCTTAGCGAACATGTGTATGACATCTATGAGACATGCATGACGGCGGTTAATGTTGGTATGGAGATCACGCATATTGAGGTCATAAATAACCTCATACACTCCCTCCCACCTCAATGGGGAGATATGGGAGTCACGGTTAGGGATGAAATGTTAGAAGGCAACCCAAACCTGTTCGAGTTTGAGAGGTATTGCCATGCCCTGATTGATTTGTGGGATAATGTAATCCATAAGGAGCCTGGGAGGAACCTTTGGCTGAGGAAGAAGATCCCAAAGAAGAACCCCAGGATGATTTAGAGAATGATTCTGAGCCTGAGCCACAGGTTGAGATGGACATAGAGTCCGGAACTAAGGCGGAAGACTCCTCCGAAGATGAAGCTCCACCAAAGAAGATCCGTAGAACTTATAGGGATTAGATTTAAATCCTTGTAATAGCTTCCCTTATGTTAAGAAATAAAATACTATCTTCTTTGTACGAGTTTTTGCATTGACTTAACAGGATGCAGAGGAAAACTCTGATGTCATTGCAGGTACTCTACTGATAGCCAATACACCTGCTTATGTATTGTTTGATTCAGGAGCTACACACTCATTTGTTTCAACAACTTTTATGGCTAAATCTAGTGTTACCTGTGATAAGTCGGAAGGTACATTAGAAGTTAGTATTCCTTCAGGCAACCCTTTGAATACTGATAGAATAGCCAAGTCAGTAAGTATCGAAGTTGAGGGAAGACCAATAGAAGCGAACATATACATGATAGAAATGAAGGATTTTGATGTAATACTAGGCATGGATTGGTTAAGTTGTAATCACGCCACCATCCGATGTAAGGAAATGGAAGTATCATTTCAGAAACCAGGAGAGGAACCATTTTCGTTCCTTGGAATGAAGACGAAACCCCTTATTCGACTAGTATCGGCTTTACAAGCTGAGAAGACGTTGAGAAAAGAAACATGTCAAGGATATCTAGTAAGTATCTCAGGAGGGAAACAAGAGACGATAAGGGTTGAAGATGTACCAGTAGTACGGGAATTCGTAGATGTGTTTCCAGAAGATCTATCTGGTATTCCACCCGATAGACAAGTGAAATTCACCATAGACCTAATTCCCGGGGCGGCACCAGTATCTAAGGCCCCATACCGAATGGCCCCAAAGGAACTACAAGAATTAAAGAAGCTCTTGCAAGAACTCCTAGATATGGGCTTCATACGACCAAGTGTATCTCCATGGGGTGCGTCAGTGTTGTTTGTAAAGAAGAAAGATAGAAGCATGAGGATGTGCATCGATTATAGGGAGATAAATCGATTAACCATCAAGAATAAGTACCCACTCCCGAGGATCGAGGATCTGTTAGATCAACTGAAAGGAGCTAAGTTATTTTCCAAGATCGACTTACGATCGGGATACCATCAATTGAAAGTAGAGACAAAGGATATACCTAAGACAGCTTTTAGAACTCGATATGGACACTACGAGTTTACGGTGATGCCGTTTGGGCTAACCAATGCACCTGCAGTGTTCATGGACCTGATAAATCGAGTGTTTCATCAATACTTGGATAAATTTGTCATAGTCTTCATCGATGACATTCTGATATATTCCAAGAGTAAAGAGCAACATGAAGAGCACTTGAGACCTTAGAGGTATTACGCAAGGAGAAGCTGTATGCCAAAGTCAAGAAGTGCGAGTTTTGGCTTGAACGAGTTGGATTTCTTGGACATGTAGTTACTGTCCAAGGGATTGAAGTAGATCCAGCAAAAGTAGAAGCAGTAACCAACTGGAAAGCACCAACAAATGCTGGCGAAGTACGAAGTTTTCTAGGATTGGCTGGATATTATAGGAGATCCATAGAAGGATTCTCCAAAATAGCTAGACCAATAGCGCAGCTTACAAGGAAGGGAGTAAAATTCCAATGGACGGAAAAATACGAACAAAGTTTCCAAGAACTTAAGCAGAAGTTGAAATCAGCACCTGTATTAACAATACCTGAAGGTACGGAAGGGTTTGTTATATACAACGACGCATCCAAGCGAGGATTGGGATGTGTACTAATGCAGAATGGAAAAGTGATAGCCTATGCTTCAAGACAATTGAAGAAACATGAGCAGAACTACCCGACGCATGATTTAGAACTTGCAGTGGTAGTACACGCTTTGAAGATATGGCGACACTACTTGTATGGACGGAAGTGTGATATCTACACAGATCACAAAAGTCTCAAGTATTTCTTCACACAGAAGGAATTGAATATGCGACAAAGACGATGGTTGGAATTGGTGAACGGTTACGACTGCGCTATTCACTACCATCTGGGTAAGGCTAATGTTGTGGCCGATGCTCTAAGTAGAAAATTAATGGGA